AGTAGGTAAACTCACAAAAACACCCTCTAAGGGTCTATGCTTAAGATAGTATCTTAGATCACAAACAATGTGATCTGTGGCACTTGTGTCCAGTACCCAAAGGTTTCCACCAGAGGAAGCTATCAGGGGAGAAAGTGCAGTAATACCTGAACTTGAAGGGAAATAACTTAGCTGTGGAGAAGGTCTTGTCACTGAGTTAGCAGCATGAATAGATGGTGAAGTTGGTGGTGATGGAGAAGGTGATGGATTCTTCGAGAGAAGGAGCTTTAACTTCTCCAATTGTTCCATTGTGAATAGGTTTGCTAGCCCACCCTTGTATCTTGAGAAATAGAAGTTGACTCTTCCAAATGGATAGTTTCAACTGAGCCTGCAAAACCTGATTCAAATGTTGCTTCTCGTGCTTTCTTATTTTTCAGCTTGTACCAATCACGAATAAGATGACCTCCCTTCTTGCAGTAACTGCGAAGTTTATTCCCATCTTGTTGTTGTTTGTTGCTAATTTCTTCCTTTAGATTGATATTGTCCACCAACATGAGATCCAGTTGCAGCTAGAGCTAGAGAATCAGCTTCTGAACTCCTATTCATAACCTTAACTGTCGCTCTAGTTACAAAATTTGTTTGAACACGATATCAACACTAGGTAAGACTGGAAGCATCAGAACTTGAGTCATTGCTGATTGGTGCTGTTTAAAGCTTGAAGGAACTTGATGATAAAATCATTGTCCTGGTACCGTTTCAAAGTATCATATGGTCCAGGAACACAAGGACAAACTAGAATGGGCCTGTATCTCTTGTATTCTTCCCAAAGCACAGTAATAGTAGTGAAATATTGACTCACAGACTGATCTCCTTGAACACACTTAGACAATTGAGTGTCAAGATCATAAACCCTAATGTTATCTTCCTGGCTAAAACTATTTTTTAGATTATCCCACACATCTTTAGCTATAGCTAGTCTCATAACACTGTTTGCAATATCATCATACAAGGAGTTGTAGATCCAGCAACGAATGGTACCTTTACATCATACAAGGAGTTGTAGATCCAGCAACGAATGGTACCTTTACATCGAGCCCAAAACTGGTAATGAGCATCAGTTACTTGAGAGAGCTGATGTTTTGGTTGGTTTCTAGAAGATCCTCTATTTTCAAAATAGAGAGTTATTGTCTACTTAAAAGTAAAAGGTGGTGAAAGCCTTTCATCTTCCTAGAGAGAGAGAGAGAGTATCAGAAAAGAGAAGAGATAAGGAAAAAGAGAGAAGAGAGAAAGAGCTGATGTTTTTCGTCTCTGCAGCAGGGCAGCCTATTCAAGTGATCGGTCTGGAAGATTGAACAGTTGGATCGTATTGAAATTTGGGCAGTGGGTTCGCAATTATCTGGGCTTCAATCTGACCGGAGGGATCGTTGTTTGAAGCTCTATTTCGTCGGTAAATGCTGCTGGACAGAAGGTGTAAGAATCTGTTTTTGGGTACCTCTCAACCTTTCTTTGTCTTGCTCTTGTTCTTGTTATCCACCATGTTGGTGAGAGCTATTCTAGAGAGGACTTGTAATCCTCTAGCTAGTCTAGAGAGGACTTGTAATCCCACCAAAGTCTAGTGGAGTTGTGGCTTGGACAAAGGTCTCGTGATTTTTCCCGATTTGGGTTTTCCACGTAAAAATCGTGTCTTGTGCATTCTATTCTTGCTTGTGGTTGCTGCCCGGTTTCTCAACATTATGCTAGCCTTAAATGAATGCAACGGGCCCCACTGACTCTGCTTGTATCTTCGCATAGCCGCCACCATCCACAAAACCTAGAGAGCGGCGACGAACGAGTGGTCATACGCGTAGCAATGCAGAAGGCGGAGAGAGTGGCGGATACGTGAATGGGTTCGTCGATTGCGGACCAAGTATGTCGACGCTATATTCGAGGTTAGCTCAGGGTGGGCGACGTGCTTGTGGCGATACGTACGTGGATGGTCCAGCGTGGGTCCACAACTCGGAAAGAAATTGCAGCCACTCGATATCAACGGATGGAAGCCTTGAACGCAACTGGGTAAGTTCCTGCTTAAGCTTTGTTAATTTATGCAGGGTGACGTGTGGAGAGGCATGGGAACGAGTTATTGTGTGGTTTCTATTTTGGATTGTGAATCCATGAAAGGACATGCAAAGCTACACCAATTATGCATGAGGTATCTGAATGAGTATTAACAGTAGGAATTAAGTGAACGTGAAATTGTAAAGATGGACGAACTGAGGACGTGCGGCAAATGTGTTAGGAGAGGCTGGCTACACAATTTAGCGAAGGAGAAGGAGACACGAAGGTCGGGCTTAGCATATTTTGGGTTGAGATGGCTATGGCACAAGGAAGTTTCACTGCTACAAAATCTAATTATAGCGACGGCACCATAATGCCGGTCGCTGACGGCCGTGGTTAAGTGGTGAGTTTCAACGGAAGGCATACGCCGTCAAAGCGACCGTGGTTAAGTGATAATTTGGACCATACGTGGTTAAGTGAGAAAATTTGATTTTATAAATTGTTTTTGCAAAGAATATATTCTTTTTCTTTGGGTTATCAGTGTCTCGCGTCCTTCTCTTTCTTCGTCAGTCAAAATTAGAGGTGTCAATCAGGCAGATTCGGGTTGGGTTGATTCGGTTTGCGGATTGATCGGGTTGCGGGTCAATCGGGTTGCGGGTCACTTGGGTTGCAGGTCAATTGGGCTGTGGGTTAATCGGGCTGCAGACCAATCGGGTTGCGGGTTGGGCGGTTCGGGTTGCGGGTTTTACACTACAAGAAAGAGGAGGTTTTGTCGTCCCCGAAAATAGGAAAAATTGTCCCCATAGTTGTTGGGGACGACTTGGTCGTCCCCAATGCGTGGTTCCCTATACTCTTGTCCTTTATTCTTTTGAGGACGACAAAAATCTAGGTTGTCCCCATTACTGGGGACGACAGTCGTCCTCAATACTAGCAAGTCGGCATCTCGTTTCTTTTTCATCAAAGACAACATGTCGTCCCTATAGCTAAAACTTTAGGGATAATAAGATGTCCCCCACAATCGATTTCATTGTTATGTAGGGCCTATCTAGGGATAATTTATCGTCCCCTTTTCTTTTTATAGGGTTGGCATGTTGTTCCTATATGTATCAAACTGGAGTCCAAAAATCGTCCCTGAAAGGTTTATTCAAGGACTACGAGTTGTCTCTTATGCTAAGGCCTATCTACGATTTCATTGTTATATAGGGCCAAAAGAATCGAAGATAAGAGGGTAATAGAGATGTAATCGGGCAAAAACTAGAGATATAACGAAAAATATATTAAAAAGATTTATGTCTATCTTGACTCTTGAGGAAAGAAAATCAAATAAAAAATCTATTTTTCCGCCAAAGCCAATGCCAATGCCATTATGGGAAAATGGAACGTGTTTGCCTATTTGGAGCTCACTGAAAGTACAAAATTTAGGCTGAAAAGGGTCGCCAATTCTTTTTGGCTAAAAGGCCCCCCACTCCAAGAGCCAAAAATGAGATTACCAATGGTTCCACTTTTAAACATAGGGTTTGTTTGGATGGATCAATCTAGAAATGAGTCCATTTGATCAATTGTCTCGTTTTATAAACGAGGCAATTAAAACGAGTCAATTCGAATTACTTGCCCCCACCCCAAGTAATTGAAATTGACTCAAAACTGATCAATTCAAAATACCTCAGGCAGATTGATCCATCCAAATTTTTTGCAGGCAAACGAGGCAATTTGGAAAAAATGTTGTGAGTTCAATTGTAACTTTACTCGATAACATATAATCTAAACTCTAAATAGTCTATACCCTAAACCCCAAATGATTTTATTCATGAACATGTGTTAATAAATAACTTGATCCTTGTTATTTACGATTTTGACTAATTTTGGCTAAACCATTAATAGTTTAATACATTAACCCTAACCCATTACCTTAACCATATACCCTATACGTCGACTCTATATCATATACCCTAAACCCCTAATGGTTTGATACCTTATACCCTATAAATCGACTTTATACCCTATAAGTCGACTTTATAATCTACACCCTAAACCCCTAATGGTGTGATTCATGAACATATATTAATAAGAAAACTTGATCTTATTAGTTATGATTTTGACTAATCGTGGCCAAACTATTAATACCTTATACTCTAATCATATACCCTACAAGTCGACTCTATAACCTATACCCTAAACCCTTACTGGTTTGATTCATGAACATATGTTAATAAGAAAAGTTGATCTTATTAATTATGATTTTGACTAACCGTGGTCAAAGCATTAAGACCTTATACCCTAACCATATACCCTATAATTTGATCCTTATTAGTTATAAATTATTATTTTGAGTTTTTGACTAATCGTGCCTAAACAATTAATACTTTATACCCTAACCTTATTAGTTAACCGTAACTTGTTTTTCCAAGCTTTTTTATTCATTATTTGTTTTTTCAATCCATTAGTTTTTTTTTTCTGTGAAAATCCATTAGTTACTTTGAAAGCCATTATACGAGCCTTAATTTCATGTTACCGTTTTGGGTAAATGCAATAAAATAGCCAAAACTTTGATTCTGTTACACAATTCTTATCCATCTGTTAATTCACAGTTAACTATGATGACGTGGCTGACACATCATCGCCACATCATTATCCATGTCAGCTTTAGTCCACGTCAGCCTTTTTCAAATTAGAAAATCGTAATTTTTATATTTTTTCTTTTAATAATGGGCAAAGCAAAAAATATATATTTTAAATCAATTGAAGCATTAAGTATGTTCTATAGGTGACGAAGTAGCTAATTTTTCAGCTCTATTAACAATCAGAATCATTATAACTAAGTAATTAAATTGACAACTTCTCAAGGGGAATAAGATCACAACGCAAACATACATTCATGCACCTGGAAAAGTATTTCCATATCGTGTACTGGAAATTATCCAGAATGAGCTTGTACAAAAGACAAAACAATAGTTGCTTCGGCAAAACAAAAGATAATCCAGCCATATCGATGAAACTAAATTCTATTTTTCTAATTAGTGTCTACTAATTAAGCTGCAAATTCTGCTAAAGAGTCCATCACTCTAGTGGTTGAGTTGCAGGCACTTGCACGGTGTCAATCTCTATTAGTTGGCACTTGGCTCCCAACAAACGCTGCAGATACTCCAGCTCCATTAGCACCATTAAGCTATAAAGGATAAAGTGTGATAAGAGTTAAAAAAAAAAAAAATGAAATGAACTTCTGTTTTCATATGGTGAAGCCACTAATAAGAAGTTGATTCTTCTTGCACTTGTTGATAATCGTTAGAAGGCGGGTCCTCTTCATCAGAATAAAAAGCTTACACATCTTCATTAGAATATGATAAATTATCCTCTTGATCAGGATAATATGAAACATCATTAGAATCAGAATCTTGTGGAACTCGCACCATTTCATTAGGTTGGCCCACCTCTTCCCCAGAAGCATAATCCCATGTTGCAACCCTCATTGTCAATCCAAGCATTTTCATAATTGACAGCCCTTCAATGTAGTCTTCATCCGAAGTCATCGCATCATTCGAATCAATAACATGATGTATCTCCCTAGCCACAGAGTTGTTACCATGCTGCCCTACAAAATCTGTACCGGCGTTTACTTTGTTATTGTCACCCATCGCACCATCATTCGGATCAACAACTTCTACAAATACTGAGATGATCTTAGTATTTGCAGCATCGACCAACAACCCTATCATCGCATCCTCATCATTTCTCACCTCGTGTAGACCCGTAGCCATGATAGCTTTGGGAGTCAAATACCAAATTTTGCGGACAGATACATACTTCAGATATACAGTAGCCACATTCACTATTTCAAAGAAGGACATCTCATCCTTATCCACGTTGACCTTCACCGAAAAACCCCCAACATAGCGTGGGACATCTCCCGAGAAGTCCATCATTCCTCCGTGATGAAAATCAAGTTCAAGATATTCAGTCATCTGCACATCAAAATGAAAATCAAGCTTATATTAGTTTATGCTTATGTACTTAGTATTGGTTAAACATGAACCATTGTAGATTAGTCATTAAAACACATTGTTAGATATACTTTACTGTATTGGTTAAACGAGAACCAAATGAGAATCCAAAAATAACAAGATATTTAATATAATGAAAGCAAGAAAAAGAACAAAGTAACACAAGCCTGATAATATATTGGTGTCTCTTTCTACTTTCTTTTGTTTTTGGGTAGGTGTCTCTTTCTACTTCTGTATGTTAGGAGTGGGGACAAATTTGATTGCTTCAATATAACTTTTATGCTGGAGAATAAGAGTTCTAAGTAAATGGCAGGCCAGGAAACACAGTAAAAGCTCCATTTATGGGAAAAAACATAGTAAATGCTCCATGGGACCAACTATAGTATAGCCATAAAATAAGCTGTTAAGGAAAAGACAGCAACAGTACCGAAATCTCACCCTCAACTAAACAAATCAAAGAAACAAAACTATTTCAAATCCACTTTGACGTGTCCTACTGTGGATCCTCCCAACAACCCTTAAACAACCAGAGAGGAATAAAGATAACAATAAAAAGGACTCACCTAAAAAAAAACCCACCGTCACCGATTAGGTTACAGCTACTGCTATAGCTAAAACCTTCCTCAACACTCCCTGCTCTCCCAACTCTTTTGAAATGTCTCAACTTCTATATAACCTTGCAGAGAAATCAATCGGTTGATTACGATTCGATTTGAAGGAAGAAAAAATTAGGGTTCTAGTCTTAATCTCAAATTCCAGAGAAGATAGGTACTAGACAGGCTGAGCTAACTTCACATTTGGACAGCGGGCTGCAGAAGGGTTGAGTTGGCTTCGGTTTGCCGAAAGAGGAGAGCGATGGCGGCTTGATGAAAGTGGGATACGCCAGGAGAAGATGGCGGCGATAGCGTTCGATTGATTGTCAAAGAGAAGAGAGGGATTAGGTTAATTTGACGTGGTTGTTTTGTTCTCTTTTTGCATAATTAATTTTGGAAAATGATATTGGAAAAATTGGATTTAAATTGCACGTCAACATTATTTGTACATGTCACTATCTCCATTTGCCACGTCATTACAGTTAACTATGAAACTAACGGGTGATTAGAATTGTCTAGCAAATTAAAAAGTTTGGCTATTTTTGGGCATTTACCCTACCCTTTTTGATGTTTTCTTATCCTTTTTATTAATTTTATGTTTTTATCAATAGTTGACTCCTGGTACGACATCGTTTCAGAAATCCTATGGCTATGCGCGATGCGAGGCAGTCCTCTCCGTCCTATATTTTTCATCCTCTTCCTACTCATCGAAACCTAAAATTTTTCTTTGAAAATCCAGCCGAACCTACCACAATGGCGCCCCACTCTTCACTCCGCCAATAAATTCCATCCACTTTGCCGGAGACATTCATCCTGTCTTGTTCGTTTATTTTCCATACGACCCGGTCGGCTTTTGTGCATCGATTCGAACCCTAGAATCTTTCATATACATTGTTGTGGGCACATATTGAATCTTATTGTCCAAGATGGATTGAAGGTGATAAAAGATGGTATTAGATATGTGAGAGAAAGTGTAAAATATGTAGAAGGATCTAAAGGAAGGAAATTAAGATTCAGGAATGTGTTGAGCAAAGTGGGATGAAACAAACAAGGTCTTTGTGGTTGGATGTGCCAACAAGATGGAATTTAACTTATAATATGCTTGAGAGGGCAAATCATTATCGTCAAGCATTTGTAAACTTAGCAATGATGGATTTCGAGTATAATGAATGTCCATCATCTGAAGATTGGAGAAGATAGAAGTGCTTATAAAATTCTTGAAGCCTTTTGATGAAATCACAAAGTTATTCTTTGGAACTAAGTACCCGACTAGTAATATGTTTTTTGAGAATGTTTGGAGGATTCATCTTGAGTTGAGGCTTCTTTGTACAAGTCTAGATGATGATATACGTGCTATGGCAAATGCAATGATGTTGAAATTCTTGAAGTATTGGAAAGACTACAACTTGGTGCTTGCTTTTGGAGTTATTTTGGACCCTCGTTATAAGGTTGCTTTTGTGAAGTATTGCTATGAAAAGTTGGGTGGAGAATATATTTCAAAAGCCGAGGATGTTGTGGATGATTTGGAGTTGCTTATGGAAGAATATAAGAATCAATCGGCCACTTCAACTACTCAAAGTGGTGTGTCTATGACTTCTCCAAGCGTTCCCTTGGACAATTACACTGCTATAAGTATTTTTTTGTTGCTACATTAATGAATTATGGTGTTTTGGTTAATTATTTGTTTTGTTTCATGTACATGCTAACTGTAAAGAAAATGATGAAAATGCTTATGTGTTAATATCCATGATATATATATATATATATATATATATATATATATTGTTTGTAGGGGTTTTACGCATCCAATATCAACCACAATACGTCAACTAGTTTTGAGTTGCAACTGTATTTGGCTGATCCTTTGATACCTGCATTTGGGGACATTGATGGAGTCTCTAAGCTACTTCCGTTTGATGCCTTGCAATATTGGAAGGACCATAAATTTCGATTTCCTCACCTCTCTAAAATGGCAAAGGATGTACTTTCTATTCCAATTTCATCAATTGCATCATAGTCTTCTTTTAGTTTGGGAATTGGGAGGAAGAATATTAACAAAATTGAGAACATCGATTTTGTCTGATACTCTTAAAGCTGTTGTGACAAATCGTAATTGGATACGAGGATACCAAATGGGTAAGAAAAAACAATCAACTATTCTCTTTTCCTTATTATTTTCTTTTCACTGATTAATTGTACAGATGACGATGGTGAAGATACGAGGGACGATGGAGAAGAAGTAAAGCTTCTAGAGTGATCGTCATTTGGAATGTCAATTTGTTTTTTGGACATGTTTTATTGATATTTGAGGTCTTGAGACAATATGAACTATTATGAGTCATGTATTCTTGTTATGATCAGACTTTTGTGAACTATTATTAGTCTTTTTTATGATAGGACCATGATATTTGGATTTTAAATCTTATAATTATCTTATTATGCTAAACTAATATTTTATAATGTTATGTGCACTATTAGGTTGATGATGTATCTAAATCAATATTTGATGATGTTATATGCGTCAATAGGTTGATGATGTATATTATTATACTAAGTTAATAATTAATAATGCAATGATCAGACTTTAGTGAACTAGGATTTCAAATGTCAACTTATAGTTTATCTTCATCGAATTCCTTCTATTATAGTCGGGCTGCGGGTTGGTCGGGTTATGGGTTCGGGTTAGTCGGGTTGCGGGTTAATCGGGTTGCGGTTCGATCAGGTTGCGGGTTGGTCAGGTTGTGGGTTGATCGAGTTGCGGGTCGGGCGGGTTACGGATCATTAACTTTTAGTCAAATCGAGTTGCGTAGGAGTGTTCAAATGGTTACCATGGTTTTAACCAAACCAAACAAGGCTAAATTCAATTAACCATGGAATACAATATCATAACCAAACCGTCCAAACTCATACAACAACCAAATTAACCAAACTAAAGTTTAATCGGTTTGGTTAATTGGCTAACCAGATTAACCAATATAAAATCACATTATCATTGACAATGAAAATTTTCCGGTTAATGCAACAATTCACAATTTATATAATGAATAAAACATAACAATCAACACGTAGTTATAGTTGACCCTTAACAAAAATACATGCAACTAAGACAATTATCTTACAATTAGTATAGAAGTATTCACCTAACAAAAATTTATGACAATGGTATGGGTTAATGAATTGTTGTGTTTGTGTAAATTGACTTAGTCTCTTAGAAATTATCATAGGCTGGAAATTACCTTCCTTTCAAGTTTTCATCCATCATAATGTATGAAATTTATCTAAATTAGACGTCCATATGTTGTGGTCTACACTTTACATATACAAATATACACTATATGAGCAATATTTAACTTTATATTTTATGAGTCTAAAAGGGATGAACGTTAACTCTTGAGTGGTTATGCTAAGTATTAAGTATGTGTATATAATATATGTTAGATATATGACTAATTACTTAACTGGTTAATTTGGTTTAACTGGTTAGGAGTCTCTGTAACCAAACAAAACCAAACCAATTATCCAAATTAACCAAACCAAATTATCCAAATAGTACCGGTTAAAACGGTTACCACGGTAACCAAACCGTTTGAACACCCCTAGAGTTGCGGATGGGTTGGTTACATTTTGACAGCTCTAGTCAAAATCCCTAGGTTGAGCGATTTCTCTTCGATAAGAACAGAGCAATGGCGCGATTCAGATAATCAGATTAGCAAGCACGATCGGAATCTCACAAAAAGGTCAATCTCTTCGGTTTGATGTTGTCATGATGTAGACAAGATGGATGATACGCTAGCTTCATTGAGTATTGCTACCCATTATCACTACTCTCCGTCGGGGAGATCTGAACTGCGACGATGCATAAAGTGCACAATTATCTGAATCGCGCCAAAACAAAAACTATTTTGGTTATTATGTATTTGGGCATAAAATGGAATATCAATGGTACATGATTTCTTTTTTTTTTTTTTTTTTGATAAGGGTGAAATAGTATTAAAAGCAAAGAAGGAAACCCGCTGTAGCAGGACAAAGGAACAACAATAATAACCACCCGGGCCGAAGAAACGCCTAGCCCAGAGGAGAAAAAATAAAAACAGAAAAGCAGAAACCATAGGTACGACACAAGTCGTGATCACCTCAAAGGGAAACAGAGCAGTCCGAAACAAAAGAATAGACAAAATAGACAACGGCTAAGAGGAAGCGGCACTTGGGAGGTGAGTGGGAAATAGCCGAAGCTTCAGATTGAGGAGCCACGCTTCTGCAATCCTTCTCTCGACCTTGTTATAGCAGACCAACCAATCACACACAAGACGGGCGATAGCCAAACAAACATCCCGCGCGGAAGCACTAACATCCCTGAAGATTCGGGCGTTTCGTTCTAACCAGATCCGCTAACAAAAAGCATGGAGAAAAACCTTGGAACACCACTGTTGCGGGTTAGAGGGATTCGGAAAAAGCCACCCTCTAATGATCGTGGGGAGATCTCTTGCCGGTTGGGCCAATTGCAGAAACGAACTCATGATCCTCCAGATTTCACGGCTGAATGGGCATAGAATGAACAAATGATCCAGGGACTCTTCATTGCAACAGCACAAAACGCACCTGCTGGGGAAAGCCCAACCCTTCCTCTTCAGCGCATCATGCGTGAGAACTTTCCTTTGGTAAGCAATCCACAAGAAGACACAGATCTTGAACGGGATCGTCGACTGCCACACGATCTTGTGGGGGAAGCTAGAATCACCATTGGGGGAGGACTTCAACAGCTCCCTATACATGGACCCGGATGAGAAGCCAACGGAAGGGGCGGGTTCCCAGGACACTCTGCCAGGGCCTGTACAAAGAAAATCAGAAGGGAGATTGTTAAGAAGCACTAAAAGTCTCACTCTCTCACACTCAGCTCCCCCTCTCAAGTTATGAATAGAAGGGAGAACCCAAACAGGAACTCCCTCTTGGTTCTGAACCATGTCCACAACCCGGCAGTTTGGCTCCACAGCAACAACAGCAACCCTCGGGAACTCAGTGGCAAGCGGCTATGATCGGCCCTTGATCCAA